CCACTCTATTAGTTCTTAGTATAATGTCAAAACAGAATACTAGACAACAGAAATTTAATTTTTTACTTTTGTTTCACAACATAGGTATGTGTTCTTTGGACCAGGCAAAGAAGGAGTAGAGGCACACCTGTGTTAGGATTACAGAAAATACTTGCATTGCCCTATGTCTGAGAAATTATTTCTTCAGAAGAAACCTACTGACCTCATTGTTGCAGACTGAGTGCTAGCATTTGGCTTATCAAGTGTCTGGTTGCCTTTTGTCTTCTATAAGTGGAAGGATTCTGGTTTTGTCTTTGCTGCTCCGTTTCAAAATCTTGTTTTCTTAATATGTGGTGTGCTATAAGATAAATGGCAAGTTAGTGTTAGTGTCCAGAACTGTGATGAAATAGCAAATGATAAATGTCGTATTATTTTGTACCTTCAGTAGTTTGCTGATGCTATCTTGCTCTAGTGGATACTGTCTGAAAGGTTATGTGCAATACTTCTACAAATGGATGATAATATAAAAAAAATGGAGATATAAGAGGTAAAGGTTTTGATGTTTGGTTTTAAGTTTCACTGGACACAAGAAAGTCTCCTCTGTATCCTGAAATGAGGGAATGGAGTCACATTTTGCCTAGGAGTGGTTGCTTACAAAAAAGGCAGAAAGCAGACCAGTTTTCATTAAAAGCTGAGAAAAACAGGGACTGAGAGGAAAGAGGAGGGGTTTTATTTTATTCCTGGAGAAAACTTTTCTAGATAGTAAGGTCACATCGTAGACAAGAAATAGTTGACATCTGTAAAAAAGGAAGACCAGAACTTTATGTATGTTTTATACATGGTGTACAGCTGCTTGAGCTGTGAGCTTGGTAGCTGTAAGCAATGATTAAGATTAAAGTTGCTCTCTCCTTCTCTTCGTGTTGACTTTTAAGAGTGAAACAGACTTCTTCTGCTTTTTCTGTTTCTATTCATCACTCTGTCTGTTGATAAATATTGGCTTACTTTCTTAGATCAGGAGAGAGATGTCAAGTTATAGTGATAGCCAGTCTGATGTACATACATATTCTGAGAGAATAAATAGCCTCTCTATAGAATAAAGAGTCGTTCAGTCTAAAATATCCTGCTGGGCGAATTTCGCCTTTTATGTAGATGGGGACATGAAGAGGAAGGCTTCCATACCTAAATTTTCAAATTAATCTAAATGCTTGTTAGGTATGAAAATTAGAAGTGATGTGTCAGACCCAGTAGAGTCTGAAGAAAATTTGCCATTAATTGTAGTGGTCCAATGTCCTTACACTACATCTTTCTGCTCTTTCACTACTGTATCATTATTATTATTCTCTCTTTTGTATACATAGAGAAATTACTTTGTTAGCCTCTTACTGCTATAAGGAATGTTTATTACTTAATTCAGTGTTTGAGTAAGAACTAAAACTTTTACAAAATCTTTTATTCCCTATTAATATCTTGCAGTTTCTCTAATAATTTTTCCTTTTGCGTATCATATCTAATATTGTGTAGGGTTTTCTGTCTGTTTTGTTTGAGGATATATGATGCTTATGCTCATGTCTCTTCTAACTTAGGCAGAAGTGGCCTTTTGGAAGGTTAGTATTGCAGTTTATATTGACTTTGCCATTTCATAATGTCTAATTCAATTAACTGAGCAACTGTGATTTAGGGGGCATTTTCTAACTACATTAGCTTTTGCTTTTTTCCCCCCCTCAAAACAGGTATAAATAAAAGGTTCTCAATTGTGTCTGTTTTTCTTTAGTTGACAGAAATATCTTCCTCTCTATTTATTTATTTATTTTCTGAGTAGTGGGCGTAAATAACTTTGGTTTCACTAAAACTCTCCCTTCAGGGCTATTTCAAGACTTCCCAGCAGCACACACAGAATTAGATTTTCGTGTTCAAAGGATCTCTAAGGAGGCAAAATTAAATTATGCAACAGAACAGAAAAATTAGGGAGTTCTGGGAAAGGAATGAAGGCTGTGAGAGGATAACAGAAAACAGGGTGGTCTGGGTTTTGGAGTTTTATGGGTTTGTGTGGCAGTCTGAAGTCTATGAGTTGCTTGTAGATGTTTCTGTATCTCTTTTTTCTCCTCCTACTGTATTCCTCTCCCCAGGGTGTGCAAGCCTGGTCTATGAAATTTGGGGGACTTGTGACTCCTGTTTCTCTCATGGAGCTCTTTCCCGCTCTTTGCAAATGCAGCTTTCTTTCCCTGCAGTAACTCCAACATATCTCTTTGTGCCTGTAGTCTAGGAAGAACAGGGCTTCTTGTAGTGGGGATGGGTGAGAAAATGATAGCAATAACTGTTTCTTGACCCTTCACATAGGTTTTCCCGAAGAGGCCCTTTTCAGTGCTTTATCAGTAGCAGAAATCTGAGCAAGATGAAAATAGCCATTCAGTATAAGAAGAACTAACCCTACTCTGCAGTGATCAGTAAATAAGCCTGTATCATGTTCATTCCTGGATTGTCTAGTTGCATGGAAGTACCAGTTAGTTTATTCCAATAGTGTGTGTAATGAACTCTGACACTGACTGATCTTTTTTTGAGTGATCAGGAGATCAGAGTATATAATATTTCCCACTTCTCTTTCATATTGACATTAAATTCCCGTGATTCTCAGTCTATCTTAGGCTATTTATATAAAATGCATCTAATGGAAATAGTAGAACTCTTAGAACTCTCATTCTGCTTGTGTATTTTTCCCGTATCATTCAGTAATTATTTGGTATGGGTTTTTTCACTCTGTTCCTGAAATGGCTAAGTACTAGTATGTTCTCCCTTCAGTGATTCAAATGTGTTGAATTTCATTATTCATCTTCTTTTAGTTATGTTGAAAAATTCTCAGTGACATTATGAGATAATACCCATAATATCAGTGGTTTTTTTTTTTTTTTCCTTTAGAAGATACACTGACATTTTTCTGTGACTTTTGTCTTCATTCACTTTTATTGGCTTGTAAGGTCACAGCTAATGTGTGTTACCTGCTTTCCTGAGCCGAGCACTGCTGCAGTTCTTTGCTTTTTACTCCAGGGGGCAAGAAGCACTTTATTCTCTGGTACAGCAATTCTGAGATTTAAAATATAAACGTAAAGCAGCCACCATGAAAGATGGCATCATAAATAGAGAACAAAGACTTGTAGTCTGCTTCCTTTGTCTATGCAAATACATAGGAATAATAGTCTTTCACAACCCACACTCTGCAAAATTAACCCAATCCTTTTAATAATCAGTGTGAGAATATTGGTTGCTATGGCAACACATTCTGTGGTACTACTTGAGTGTCAAAATAACCTAATGAAATATCGTGCTAAGAATGTTTCAAAATTGACTTTTAAAATAAAAAGTAAATAAATCCACCTAACTTTAGAAGATATGGCTAGATTAGTGAAATCTGCAACAAGGGAACAACCATTTTCTAACCAAGGGGAATCAGACTAGTGGTGATAGTGGATACATTGTGTTTCTCATCTTTGGTGAGCGAGCTGACATAGAATTTAGAAGTATTTTCTCTGCTTAAATTAATGGTGTACCAACCACATCTGCATTAAGAAGTTACAGCAGGAGTCAAAAGTTAAATGATCCTCAGATGTCACACAATTTAAGTCAGTGCCTGTCTGTGTGGTATCTTTGCTTCTCTTAACAGTTTCTATCAGCTTGTGTTCATCTAGAGAACTGCTGCTCTTCCTGTACTTCTTTCCCCTCTACTGTTCTTTCACTTCTCCATTCCCTTCCTTGCAACAGACTCCATGCATTTCTTTATTCTGTTGCCTAAAGTAATCCACACTTAACATGTTGGGGTTTTGAAAGTTATTTTTGTATGGGGCTCACAGCAGTGTTTTAGAGTTGAGATTACAACTAGATTAATAGCTGTCGTCAGCTGTTGTCTCAAACAGCGTTATTTTGGTCGAGCAAAAATCCAGCCACTTCTGAAAGAAGCATTCGTAAAGACAGCATTTAGTATCTGAACATCAGGTGTGCTGCTCAAGCAATTGTCAAGCAGGCTAGAACAGCTGTTCCCTACTCCAGTATAAATGTGGGCAAAGAATTAGGATATAAAATTTACTTTTTTTTTTTTTACTTGTAATAATTTTTGTTTACATGAGATTTTAAAAATCTTTTATTAATAGGTTAACTTTCCTTCTTCTTCTCCTGAAATTAATAAAAGTTACTACTGTAATTCAGTTGGGGTGGACTATCCTGTGTAGCAAAATAACATAAATATATGAGAACTGTTCTGTCTTTTTACTGTTTTGTCATAGAAAATTAGGAGACTGGTTTAAGCAAAAATCAGCATTTCCCCACTCAGACCAATATGTAAATCACAATGTTCACGTCTGAATGACTTTTTTTGATACCTTTCATTCCTTCCAGACAATGAAGCAAAATAAGACAGGTCATTTTTAAATATGTTTTTTTGCCTACAAAATAAGCTAACACCTTTATTGTTGATGAACACAAAACAAAAATCAAACCCCTGTATTTTGATTGATTTAGCCCTTTTTTTTTTTTTCCTGCAAAAACCTTGGACTCGTCCAGGCAAATGTAGTACAGCTATACTTTTTTGAACACAATAAAGGACTACTGAAATGAGATCCCCTCCGCTTGTATCGTTTCTTTCTTGGGGATAGTATTTTATTTTTTTAAAACCTTACTTTTTGTTCACTGTGGAATATCCTAAACTTAATGATAGTACAGCAAATTTTAAAGTAAAATGAAGTAAAAATTGCCAGTTTCTTGATAATAAAGACAATAAATGCATACTTTTACTGTATATTATTATGTTCACTCATCTGTAAAGTATAATTGCAGATACCTCAATATGCCCCTTCCTTAAAAAGTGTGATTTTCATACAGCATTTTAACAGTTAAGTAGGAACCTTGTATTAAAACAGCAGTTTATCTTTTGGAATTTATAAATGGGACATTCTTAAGTTCTTTTCATTAAGTAAAAGGTTTCTTTACAATATATCAGTGTATTTAATTCACATGTATTTGTTTTTTATGCACAGAGGCCTTCTTCAATGCGTTTATCCCCAAGGGAGGAAGATGATGATGATGCAGGTGAAAATACTTGTGGTCCTTCAGGTTTATGGGAGGCATTGACACCTTGTAATGGATGCAGGAATCTCGGATTTCCCATGCTTACACAGGTATATATTTACCTTCTCATCATAAAACTTAATAACTATGAAAGAGCTGCTTAATTTTTTCTTTAACTCTTGCAGTCATGTCAAGTCTTGCCTGATTCCCTTCAAAATTGTTACCTTCAATTTTCATTTTAATGTCAAGATCTGGTTAAATCTATTAAATGTTGAGGTTTGGTTATCCTGACATACTACTTAGCCAGATGAGTTTAATATTGAGACTGTTTGCTGTTACTACTATTTTAGACATCTAGTTGCTGTGTTGGATAGCTTTCTTTTCCATCTGGAAACAAATTTGATATCGTATAGTTTCCTTTTGGAAAAGTACTCAGCTTCTAATTAATATAATGACATCTCAGCTCTTTCCTTTATAGAATTGAGGACACTGTGCTTAACTCAACTGATGTAAGAATATTGCCTAAGACATCTCTTTAAAGATTAGACAAATTAAAAAAGAAGTCCCCAGCCATTTTCAAATGCTCATGATAATACAGAAGGGAATATGTAAAAGTGGGTAATATACTTGGGCCTAAGTTGCAGCAGTTCTCAGAGCAGACCAGCCTGCAGTGCCCACCAAAGCCTTCCAGCAGCTGTGTCCTGAACAAGTGATACTGTATCGCTACGGAACAGGATGATGCTTATTGCAGCTTCTAGGGTCTCCCTTGTTCTCTCCCCTCACTATAATTTAGTACTCTCCTTTCTGTAACATTTTTCCTCCGCTTTTTTGGTAGTACTGAATGAAGACCTGCCAAATTTCTGTTTAGCAGTCTGGTTTTTTTCAGTTACATCCTTACTTGGCACTGCATTTAAATAGCTTTGTCAGATTCTTGTGTACCAGATTGGAACTACATATCCTGTCTCACCACACTTTATACAGTGTTGCTTTCATACCGTGACTGTTCGTTTTATTCCCTTTAAGTCTCATGGGACTTGCACCTGTTGGAAGTCAATGCTAAAGCTTTCCCTGCAGTCAATGGAAACAGGATATGGCAGCTAATATGCTTGAATAACACTGAGCACTGCCCTGTCTTTTTATAAGGAGCTTTTATATTCCTTTCCCTTTCAGTAGCTGTTTTCTACTTCATACTATCCATCATTTTAGACATTTGGCAAAGTACAGAGCTGTTGGAATTATCCTGATTTACAATAGGAGTGCTACAGTTACTAATTCCTCATTTTAAAGCATTTTTTTCAACACATATTTCTTGAATGGAACTTTTCTTATTTAACTATGTATCACCTGTGTTTTAATTATTGCTAAATTTTCTTATGATGAAAACATATTTGGATGTGACTTCCTAATTTTAAGAAATGTTTTTGTTCTCCTTGTTTGTTTTTAATGTAAGATATATGTAAAAGGTGTTATGAAACAGAAATGCCTTTGAAAAATAGAGTCAAGCTAGCTTGGTTGGTTGGTTTCTTTTTCCTGTATATAAAGAGAGATTAATTTCAAGAACAATATAAGTTCTAAGTTGAATTAGTTTTATTCATTGTACTTTAATTTTAAACTCAACCTTATAATATCTCATCTCCCTTGCCTTCAGAACTAATTAGATTTTTAGTTATGGGCACAAAAAAAAGATTTTTTAAAAGATATTTATTATATGTTCATTCATGATATGGCAGATTGCCTTTCTAGATTGTTTCTATCTGTAAAAATTGAAGACAGAGATAGTTTGGTCTTCAGTTGATTTTATTTCTATGAGAGAAAGGAAAGAAGTTAGGTAGTGAAAAATTTCCAAATTAAAACCCAGTGAATTTAGTTTATAAAGCGTTGCCATCACTGTATGCAGTCTTTCAAGCTGTTAACTAATCTGTTGGATCTTTCACATTTACTTCAGAATGCAGCAGAGAACATCTTGTTCTAAGGGATTGAGAACACAAAGTATATACTTCAATTTTTGGCTTAAGAACAGTACGTTGAATTGGTCTAAAAAATAGGATTGATGTTATGTGCGACACCATGTTTTAGGTAAAAGTACAAAAATGTGTTTCTCATAGTCATGTCAGTGCACTAATATCCCAGAAAGTGCAGACTTCATCATGAAGAAGCAATGAGATAAGGGTACTTGACATGGTGTCTTAAAACCCATACTCTCCTTAAGAACCAAAAATAGGGAGGAATGTCTGTCAATTACTCTTGAACACAAATGACAAGTTCATTTTTTATGCTTCTCCTTTATTTAAAAATAGATTTCACCATTATATAAATATATTGTGTTTGCACATCAAAGGTGAGCAAACGTAAAAATTGAATCTTGCTTTGTATACAGAGAGGCACAGTGATAAAATGCAAGCGGGCTTTAGGTGAGATTATGAAAGCGTCCATCTTTGACATAGTGAGCTAAGAGTTTTCAATATGGCAAAGAAAGAGGGCAGTTATCTCCTTGACAAATTTGGTTTCTTCATTGTAGTCATGGAAAAAAGCTTATCTGGAGGCATTTCTGGCATTCAGTATGTCATTGCTGTCTGTACTGTGCTGGGAAGTGTCATTTTAGCAAGGACTGTTATAGAAAGTTCTATATAAGTTATTCTGCAGATATCATTTCTAACCTGACGTAGCAGTAATACAGGTATTCTCGAAACAAGCAGCTCTCTTTTACAGTCTCACAATTGGTGAAGTCCTAGAAGAGCTTGATGGAAACTCTTTCTGTCTTTTCAAAATGTCAGGGTTTTAGAAAGTACCCAGTTCTACATCAAAACGAACCAAACAACTAGCTCCATCCACTAAGAAAAAAAAAAAAAAAAGAGACAAAGATCTAGAGAGCAAGGATACGCAGCTGGATTTTTGGAGACTGAAGTTTAAACATATCCTCTTACTTTAGCAGAGGGTTGAATTTCATTTATAGCTTATGATTTGAGGTTAATGTGGAGGCTGTTGCTTTTTTCTGGAGATGATCTTTGGTCTTGGGCAGAAATTCCATTCTTGCTAGAACTGATGCACATTTTTGTGAAAAATGTTGGCTTCCAGAGATGAGTATTTTACATCTGAAAAATAGCCTTTCTCAAGAAATTCCAGATTATTTGTTTTCTGACAGTCAGTACAAAAGAAAAACCTTTTGATTACCTGCATAACTTAATAATTATCTTCTACACATTCCAGAATTTCCAGTAATCTTAAGTACCAGCATGGTAAAAACAGTTTTAAAAACTTTCCAAGATGTAAAATCTCAAAAGTGCTTCTAAAGAACTCTCGAATTCTAATATTGCAGGCTCCATTGGAAACAGCTTACTCTGAAATAATATGTCTGTTAAACTGAGAGAAATCTTTTGTAATGGTATGATAATGCTAGAGTCTCTTCCATGGATCTCTAGTTCATGTAAAATCTTTCTACAGTAACTTAAAAGATTTTTCATGCTTCAATGGTTGCGCTTCTGCCAATCATAAATACTCTTGAATATCCTTTTTATCCAAGAGGTAGAATAAGAGAATATATTTCATATATAGTTTTCTTTCAGGGTAACCACAAAAATAGGAGTTATGTGGCAAAGTATTTTAGCTGGAGAGATTTCACTATACTGTAGATAAGTATGGGAAAGAAAATGGGGATATGATCCTTAAAAGAAGTTTTTAAGCAATGGCTACTAATGATGAAAAAAGCTGGAAGCATTACAGTGTCATCACTGTTTACCATTTCAGATGAGGACAGTTTAGTCAAGAAACTGGTAATTCAGTGAAATATAGAATAGGAAAGTTTAGAGGTAGACATAACCTAAGCAGCTTAATATGTGCATGGGTATATAGTTATTAGGATGTCCAAGGAAACACAGGCTGCCATGATAGAGTTGTGCAGATAATTGGGTTGATAAAGTAGCTTTGGTTAGTCAGCTGATAGACTAAAGTTTCTGTCCTCACAATGGCAAGAAGAGCAAATTTAGGTTGAATAAGGTTATAATTTTGATAAACTTGAGTTAGAATTCTGGTCCCTGTTCTGTGTTTGTATATCTTTATAACAGTTTATGTGGAGTGCCATAAACTGAAGACTACACTTATGGTCGTCTTTGGGTACTGCTTTTTCTACTTGTATCAAACTTTTTTTGGCACAGTAAAGTGGTTGAAAATGATCCTCTGTTCAGAAAAACCTATAATATAGGGTCTGTGGATGTGAATTTCTGAAACAAAATTTTATCATATCTCCTGTGTGTACTCTTAAGTTCTGTATTTAGTGCAAGAGAGGTGCTTCACAGAACGGGTAAGGATGGGAGGGACCACAATGGATCTGGTTCAACCTCCTTGCTCAAGCAGGGTCATCCTAAAGCACATGGCACAGGATTGCATCCAGGCGGTTCTTGAGTATCACCAGTGAGGGAGACTCCACAACCTCCTGGACGGTCTGTTCCAGTGCTTGGTCACCTGCACAGTAAAGTTCTTTCTCACATTCAGGTTGAATTTCCTGTGCGTTATTTTCTGCCCATTGCCTCTTGTCCTATTGCTTGGCACCACTGAGGAGAACCTGGCCCCATCCTCCTGATACTCTCCCTTCAATAGTTATAGACACTGATGAGGTCCCCTCTCAGTAATTTATTCTTGACACTGAACAAGCCCAATTCTCTCAGCCTTTCCCCGTAAGAGAGATGCTCCCAGTCCCTTAATAATCTTTGTTGCCCTCTGCTGGACCCACTCCAAGAGCTCCATGTCTCTCTTGTACTGAGGAGGCAAGAACTAGACACAGTGCTCCAAATGCAGAGCAGGCTTCTTAGTGGGGCAGGATCATCTCCCCTTTACCTGTTAGCAATGCTCTTCCTAATGCGGGCCAGGATACCATTGGCATTTTTTGACCACAAGGGGACACTGCTGGCTAATGGACAGCTTGTCCACCAGAACCTTCAGGTCCTTCTCTGCAGAGCTGCTTTCCAGCAGGTCAGTCCCCAGCCTGTGCTGGTGCATGGGGTGGTTCCTCCCCAAGTGCAGGACCTGCATTTGCCTTTGCTGAACTTCAGACAATTCTTCTCTGCTCATCTCTCCAACCTGTTGAGGCCCTTCTGAAGGCTGCACAGCATGCTGGGGCATCAACCACTTCTCCTGGCTTTGTGTTGTCAGCAAACTTGCTGAGGAGGCATCAACCCTAAAGGGTCATTGATGGATAAGTTAAAAATGCTTAACTCAGTTTTGAATCTGGGGGACACCAGTAGTGACAGGCCTCCAATCCCACGCTGTGCCATTGATTATGACCCTCTGGGATTTAACAACCTAGATTAAAAATAGAAAACATGGCAACCAACCAAAACCTGGCTGTCAGTTTCCACTGTGTTCTGCAAAAAGCTTCATTCAGTAGGGGTATGATGTATTTTCTAGGCACAGAAAGATCACAAATTCCTAAGGAAGACAGCATGCTTCTATGTAGATAGCATATTTCTGTCTAGATAGTTCACAAAGGTTCAATGGAATTTTGGTCTGCCTTGCTTTAATGCAAATTAACATTGAAAAAAATTCATAAAGAGAGCTTTGAGAAATGCTCAGGTAAAGAAGGTGGTGCTAAACTGTCCTAGCACAAGCAAAGCCTTTATATTCTTGTATTTGTATAGATGAGCTACATCAAGTTCTGCCCCTTGATAGAGGACCATTCAGTGTGCAGAGGTCAAAAGACAAGACAGAATCAAAACTTCGGAGTTTCACATTTGCTACTTTATTCAAAGGAAAAAAGGTTTAGTAAGTGGATATTGTCAGGGCTGGCAACTCCTTGGGAGTGAGAGTGTCAGGACCAACAGAGGCTACCTAGGGTGGCAGCACAGTTCC